AGGAGGAGGAGGAGGAGGAGGAGGAGGAGGAGGAGGAGGAGAAGAAGAAGAAGAAGAAGAAGAAGAAGTAGAAGAAGAAGAGAGGAGGTGGTCTCCGTGTCGACATATATGCGATGAGAACGCGCGTCTCCTGACTCAGTGCTTGACAAGCTAGCAAGCTCTTAGGATTCATCGAGTTTTATCGGCACGGCGCGAAACAACACGCTTTGCCAGCTGGCCTGCCACTGCCACGCGAGTTCGCTTCTTCTCTTCTCCGTACCGTTCTCCTTCTTCACGGACGTCACGATCTTTTCCTTCCGGATTTCTTCACTCGTTTCCATCGTTTCTTTAGCGATCAATTTTTTCCCCCCCATTCATCCAGAAGATCAAATCGTATCGATCGTTCCAAACCGAATCGAACATTTCGAGCATTTGAATTTTCGAAAGGAGAATCGAAGGGGGGGGGAAAGAAAAATTCGCGAATTAATATCGACAATATACCTGGGATAAGCGAGAGAGAGAGAGAAAGAGAAAGAGAAAGAGAAAGAGAAAGAGAGAGAGAGAAAGAGAGAGAAAGAGAGAGGAAAAAGTGGAACGAAGGAAAATCACAACGGCTTTGATTTATTATTGGTGACATGACTCCCAAGATACGTTTAAAAAGATGCACGGTATATCGGTAAACGGTGTGTTGCTAGCGCGCACATGTCTAGATTAAAGTTCGCGCGTGAACCAGAGGTCACGAGGGTTCACCGGATCGTTCCGTTCCAAAAAGGATACGGAAGAAATCCGATTGTACGTGTCCAGTGAACATCGACCTCGAGTGTAATGTGCTTTTTCCAATATGTCTTGGTGCTTCTAGTGTATAACCATTATGCTCTTTAAATAATATTTTTTAGTGATCCCTAGAAAGAAAAGTAACCGGACGAAAAGCATGGATCTATTCGTTCCAAGATTTTTATCCTTGTCGTACCATCGATAACAATTCGTCCCGTTCACGTTTGTATTTTACGTTTTTATCGCGTGAAATATTCATCCGACGATTTTAAAAGTTGCAAGAACAAGAAAGTGCTACTACGACTTTCTCTATCGAGTTTGCCACTTTGCCGAGAGAGGGACGCAAAGGGACGCAAAGAGAGATAGAAAAAAAAAAAAAAAAAAAAAGAAGAAAATTGGATTGTGCGAGATCGCTGGATTTGCGATCGAGATCGATACCGTTCCACTTACACCGAACGATGCATCGAGCTATGACTGTAACCAACTATCACGTATTATCGTCTACCGGAGGAAGTTTTTGGTGGTAAAAGTGGTATCTCGACGTTCCACGGAATCGAAAGGAATAGCGTGCTCGAATAAACAACGGAAGAAGTTCTTTTCACGGAAGCGAATAGCGGCGAAGAAGGAGGAGCTGGAGCAAGAGGAAGAAGAGAAGGGAGCGAAGGAGGGCGGCGAGGAGGAGGAGGAGGAGGAGGAGGAAGAGGAGGAGGAAGAGGAAGAGGAAGAGGAGGAAGAAGAGAAGCAGGGACAGAAAGTAGTAGCAGCGGCGGCGGCGGCGGCGGCGGCGGTGGTGATTGTAGTGGTGGCATTGGCAGCAACGTTGGAAGAGGAGGAGGAAGAGGAGGAGGAAGAAGCAGAGAAGAAGGAGGAAGGGGAGGAGGACAACAACAACGACGACGAGAAGAAGGAGGAAGTGGAGGAGGTGGAGGTGGGGGTGGAGGAGGCGGAGGGGGAGGGGGAGGCGGGGGAGGAAGAGGCGGAGGCCGCGGTGGAGGAGGAGGAAGAAGAAGACGAAGAAGAAGAAGAAGAAGAAGAAGAGGAGGAGGAGGAGGAGGAGGAGGAGAAGGAGGAGAAAGAGACGAGGAAAAGGGACAAAATATACGAATTTTTAATTCGCGCGAGATAAAAAAGGAAGGAGACAGGAGTAAAGGGCGAACAGCCCTTTGGAAGCGTGGGGAAAAATTAGGAGAAAAATCGTCAAAGTACAGCGATGAGGTGGAATATTTGATCGCTCGGTTTGCGAGGGAAACCGATTGTAACTAATCCGACTAAGAGCGACCTTGAGCAAAATGGTCAGGGGGGTGGTGTTACTAGTCTTGCTAGTTCTCTTCGGTGCCTTCGACGTTCCTGGCATCGAGAGGGTTCGTGTTAGATATCTGGCTAATGCTGGTAACACCTGTAACGCTTGTAGAATGCACGAGGAGATCAGAGCTCTCAGCCTCAAAGCCATCAAGGAACAAATTTTGAACAAGCTGGGCTTGAAACAAGCTCCAAACATGACGGGTAGAGCTCTGCCAAGAATTCCGCCGATTTCCAAGTTGATGGATATGTACGGGATGCAAGCTGATCAACCTCAACCTCTCGAGCCCGGTATCTCGCATCACGAGGAGATCGACGAGTATGCTGCCAAAACGGAGAGCGTCTTCGCCCTGGCGCAACCTCGTAAGTTTCTTCAAAATTTTCCCTTTCTTCGATCCTTCCAATCGGAATCTTTCCCTTCTTCTTGTCATTGCGATTGCGATGCACCGCATGAGCCCAAATGAGGGGAGGAGGATATAAAAAAAAAAGGAAAAAAAAAAAATACAAATTTCATTAAATTTTTCTCCCATCGTTTCACGTATACCATACGTGTATACCATACGTATATCATTTTTTCGTTATTTCGTTCGGAGATAATTTACGAGGATGATTTACGAGGATAATATATCGATATTAAATAAAATCGATTTCATTAGAAAAAGAAGAAAAAAGAAAAGAAAATAAAGAAAATATCGTTTCCACTTTGGTATAAAGTTGTTACTTATCAACTCGCAATTTTAATCATCACACGCATCGCGTGTTGCAGCTGTCGTATTTTTCCTTGCAACATTAATTAAATTAACCTTTTCAATTTGACGAATCGTTCATTTTGTTTATCCACCATCGTATATAATTCGTAACATTGTAGTTTAAATTGGAACGCGTCTAATTGCGAACATCTCGTTTGATCAAATTTATCCAGATAAAGATTATGTAACTTTACCTCATTAACGAAATTACGAATATATCGAGGAGCAAAATTAGAGTAGCGAGATTAACTCTCTTCGTACCCCCATCTAACAACGCATTACACGATTCGATTCGTATCGTACGATTTAAATTTCTAGGATAGGAAACGCGCGTATTTAGATTTTTCTCGCTCGTCCCACTTTCTCGCGAACGCGAAGAAACCGGAGAAGAAATAAGAATTAGATTCGAAATTCGATCGTGCTCGGTCGATCGCGTCCAACTTTGCTTTTCCAGTTGGAAATTATAGTAACGGCAAAATTGGCCGAAAGACCGTGATCGCGGCAACGCATCGCGATCGATCCGTTTAATTCCATGCAATCGTCTGTTAATTTTGTTGTTTGGCCGTTATAATTTGCCTCGTTTTATTTCGATTCGATTTAATTGGATTTTCGAATAAAAGTTTACTCGTGTTAGATATACGTGTACGTGTACGTTATACGAAAACAAAGTTGCAAGGCACAGAGAAGATGGATGGAAAAGTATAGCATCCTCGAGGCAAAGATACTCTTTACTCTTTTCAACGTATACCACGTAATAATCACGTTAAAGCTGTAACCTGTGTTTAGGATTGTTTTTTCTCACATGTATACACGCATCCCTTCTTCCCTTCTCCCCCCCGCCACGTATCCGAGAGGAATCAGGGTCTTCCTCTTTCAAGAAGCAAAAATTTCGATCGAGAACCGCACGAAGCCGATTATTTTCGAACGATCTTAAATTTAATGGCCAATTTATCTACGATCGTTGGTTGACAGGATTCGCATGAAACACGACAGGCTATCTTCGACCACGTTCTTAGCCGTCTGGTATCTTGTGATTACAGGTGCTTGCGAGAACTTTTAAGCGAGTTGTTATTGCATTACCGTATAATTATAGGGCCATTGTCAGTAGACGATCAAGAGAAATGACCTGTTAGCGATTCTTTGTCGGCAATCTCGAGTGCTGTTATACGATCAAATTTTTGCCCGGATAATTGTAAAAATAAGCCCACTCCTTTATTAACTCGTTCCTTCTCGATATTCTGTGACATTTTGCATTTACCAATAAGTTTTCTTTTTCTTTTTCTCTTTCTTTTTCTTTTTTTTTCTTTTTCTTTCTTTTTTTTTTTTTTTTTTCTTTTGCAAGATTTCGTTAATTCCTTTACCACCGGGATCACGTAAATATCACTTCATAACCGTTACGGAATATTAAAAAACGCGAGAAACGATCGAATGGTTTAAAAAATCACACGTTACACGCATATAATAATACGGTTTCGTGCCGGGAAGATTAGCAAAGACGATCTCAAGTAAGTAAGAATGACTACAACCAATGATCGATACGTTCGTTGGAACGTCGAGATCAAATCTCCGTATAATATCCGTAGCACGTGGTACTAGATGTTGCGAAGCGCGTGTGATTCATCTCGCGAACGCGTCTCTCTGTTTTATCGAGGAGCGCAAAAACTAGAAGAAAAGGAGAAATTTTAGCGAAAGTTTAGAAACGATTGGAACGAGAGAGAGAGAGAGAGAGAGAGATGAGATATAGCGGCGATGCCAATGCCAATGCCGATCCCGATCCCGATCCCGAAAGCCAGCCATCCGATTCGTAAAGGGTTATCACTTCAGGTCGCGTACATATATATCGCTTTTTTTTTTTTTCCAACGGTCCAAAAATATTCGACCACTCGTTCGTACAAATTTTTCGTCTTTCTTTCGCTCCGTCCCGCCCGCTCTCTTTACTTTTTTCCATATTTCTCTGTATTTCTCTCGAAACGACCACCTCCCCCCCTCCTTCCACCGCATTCTCCTCTTTTCCTTTCCGCTTCTCTTCGCTCTCTCCCCTCTCCTCTCCCCAAACTACATACGAGCATGCGTGTCCACACCCACACGATGTACCGTCCTTTATCTCTTTCTCTTCGTTCGATTCTTTTTTTCCCCTTCGATTTCTCCCCCTCCCCACCCTCTCCCTCTTTTTTTTTGCGCCTCTCGCGAATGTCGGCATTCTTCTCGTATGTACACCCAATTCCCCTTTCTTCGACCGTTCGTTGATTCGCGATCTTTTTTTCCACCGTTTTCGTTCGTCCCATCGTCTCCTTATTTTTTCTTTTGCCCACAGTCTTCCCACAGCCGGTTCCCCCTTTTCTCGAATTCCTTTTACCTACTCTCTTCGTTCCATTTTCCCTCTCTTCTTTCCGTGTCCACCATCTACCTAGTATCATCTCTTCTTCTTCTTCTTCTTCTTCTTCTTCTTCCTCCTCTTCTTTCTCTTCTTCTTCCTCCTTCTCCTCCTCCTCCTCCTCCTCCTCTTCTTCTTCTTCTTCTTCTTCTCCTTCTTCGGACGAAACGACCATCGAATTTTTTGCTCCTCGACCTCGAAAGAAGATCGATCGATCTTTGTCACTCGACGCGGCAACAGTCGGTCGATTGCTCCTGCTGCTGCTGCTGCGATTCGATGCGATCGACTATGGTATCCCTTATTTTTTCGTATTCCATCGACGTTTCGAACGTCGATTGAAATCTAAACCGGGAGGGAAATACGTTTGTATCGACGTTTCGGACGAATGCTTGGCTAACTGGTGTACGTTATCGAAGAAACGTAAACGAACAGATGATGTAAGATAAATTAGAACCGGAAATTCATAGTTGGATTCTACAACATAGTTGCTGCGCTCGCATTTACGTTCGAAAATCTTCCATTCCCGATAAGAATTCGTTAACGTTTGCCGTAAAATCGTGCAAAACACGATTTGCTGCTGACGCGACGCTTTCAAATTTGCAACGACGACGAGCAACGATATTTTTTTCTCGATTTTCTCCAGCGACGATCCTCGAATTCCTTCCGTGAATGAGAATCCTACGTATTCCATCATTCATATCGGAAAATCGTTATCGATCGAGATCGTGGGAACGGAATTGTTGTAAAAACGAATTTAAAACCGATCGATATTCGATATTCGATTACGGAGAGAGATTGGAATGGGAGAAGAGAATGGGTCCAGCGATCGATGCGATGCACGAAACGTTGGCTGCGCGAATTCCAAGTAAGTAAGTAGACACGAACGACGAACCGGCCTCGATCCGCTACGAAGGTCACGGTCGCTGCACAGCCTAGGTCAGGCCCATCGCTTATTATCGCGTTAAGGCTGTCTCTGAAAGTGACAGGCCGCTGTTAGAACTCTCGTATTTTCGGACACCCCCTCAACTCTCCTATCGCGTATTTCTTTCCTAATCGGAGACACGACGTCGTCGTCGTCGTCCTCGTCGTCGTTCCTTCAATGTAGCGCGGATCATACTCGCCTCCGCCCTCCTTCTCCTCTCCTCTCGTCTCGTTCTCCTTCCTCTTTTCAATCTTTTATCATCGTTTTCGATTATATCGACTCATATCAATGTAAATAACGAAACGATATATAATAAATGAATTTAATTATCGATCGTTCGCACCGCTTGCGGGAGGAGAGAGAGAGAGAGAGAGAGAGGAAAGAACGAAACGAGACGCTTTTTTCTCCCTCTCTCTCTCTCTCTATCGTATCACGCATATACGCGCGATATAATTGGATCGGTATCTCGTTATATTTTTGACGCGATATACTACTACCGTGTGTGGTAGATACGTATCTACTTTACTTATATATACACACGCATCAGTCTTGGTGAAATTAATAAATCTGAAATGGATATATTAAACCGTTGGATAATGATAGCGTAGATAGTAGCACTGCGGTCAGCATACTCGCAGACAGGCGCCATTCCATCAGTGACTCTCAATTCGTTACGGTTTCTTTCGATTTTACGAGTGAAACGTTTCGAAAAGCGTGAGATTAGAGAATACTGGAGGAAAAATTGTTCGCATGCCGCCCCTTCGATCCATCTTCTGTGCGTGTTACGCCCAAACGTATGGGGGAGGAGGGAAGGGGGGAGGGAGACGGGTCGAAATTCTTCGTTTTTTCAATTTTTACAACCTTAATGAACTCGTAATTCTAAGTCTAAAATCCAATCCAATAATAAATATTTATTCGGCTTAAACTTTCCATCCACTTTCCCCCTCGTTCCCCGGATCGAATCCGACGATGATAAAATTGTTATTAGATCCGATTCGTGAACCGATCCTCGAACGAGAGAGAATCGGAAGAGAAAATTGAAAATTTTCGCGAAATTTAATTAGAAGGAGAAGAAAAAAAGGCAGAAACGAGAGCAGAAAACACAAAAAAGGAAAAACAAAGAAAAGAAAAAAAGAAAAAAAAAAATGGATCACGATCGAGTGCGAGGGTGAAAAATGATGGATGAAGTGGAAACGAGTAAGGAAAGGGGCGAAAAACGAAGGTGAGACGATCGTTGAAGATTAGATCGCGCAAGATCTAATTTGATCGGTGCGCGGATAGATACGTTCGATATTGATCGATCGATCCAGCCCCGCGAGCTATAACGTCGATCTACAAAACCAGTTTGTCGTGTTCCTAACTCTCGCGAAGATATTAACAGCACGAATCTCGATGCAACGTTGCAACGCGAGTGTGTTTAAAAACTTATTACAGTTATATAACAATTCGATGAGTATTATCGTACATACTGTACATACAATATCATAATATTAGATCAATATCGATCAGTGTCGAATTACCGGGCTCTACCTTACGCAAATTTTCATTTCATCTTACGTTAACATAAATTGTTAAATTTCTTTATAATAATAATAATAATAATAATAATAATAATAATAGTAATTCTTTCCTTTTCTTCCATCATTGATTGAAAATTATTTCGATCTTCGCGTACAACGTTTATACACGTATCGAGACATATTTATATTCCGTAACGAATGAATCGCGATACACGCGTCCTTCTCTTTCCCTCTTCCTTCTTATTCATTCGGCTATTTATCTAAAACTCCGTTATGTTTCTTTCTCCTCTTGTTTTTCAACTTTCCGTTTCAAGACGAACAACACGTTTGATTTCGAATGCACGCGATACGCGATAAAGCAGGTTCGTAACCGTAGGTAGGATTCGGTCCCTTTATTTATCGGGAGACGAAAAAAAAAAAAAAAAAAAAAAAAAAAAA